GACCAAATCGGCGATACATTAAAAATGGGCCAGATTAGGAGTACCCTTAACCGACGAGCGTGTATGCGTAGATATATGGATGTAAAAGAGGCGAGAGAGGTGTGTCAGGATCGCGCCAAATGGAAGTCCGTAGTCTCTGCCTACCCCTCTGGGTGACAGGCGTGAGTGTTTATGTATTTATGTATGTATAGTTTTATTCAAATTCTTTTGAATCACTATATAATACTGAGACTTTTACTACATTGAATTTATAATGCAGATCCCCAGTACTACGTTTTTTAATATTCTAAGACAGCGCTTAACTACAATCCCACCTGATAGTAAGTGGTGATGTAGCCTAAGATGGTGAAACGCACTGGCTTAACAAAAGCCTAATAATCTTGCCTTGAAGACACCCACATTGTGGTCAAATGGAAACACAGATGTTGGCAACTTATTTTCCCCTCCTTTGCTGTCCTCATGATGAACGTTGTAGCACACCGTTTGGTTCGAATACGTAGTAAGTCAACAACGATGGGGTGGAGACTGGCCGAACGTCTGGTTGTCCGATGGAGGAAGTGAGAGGGAGGAATTAAATTATGCAATTCCTGTGCACACTCCGAAATGCATCCTGTTCAATTTACACCGAACACATTATGTACGCGTAGGCATTTTACTTTAAAGTTTTTATTTGAGTCAGTACATCTACGGACGCCAAAATAATAATAGTAATTTATTTCAGACTTTTTTACACCCATTTCAAATATCACTAAATGTTAAAAACAAAATGAAAATATTACTATATAAGGATACAATAAATGAAATAATTAAACAATTCAACTGTAATCATAAGTAAATACTTAAAATACTAAAATTGCTCCAAAAAGGGAGTTCGTACTATCTATTTACAGTTATTATCGCGATTCACGGCACGCCAATATTTTAGTATGGGATTCTCTGGGCACTCGTAGCACACCCTGAGGATCTCGTTCTCGGAATCACGGATGCGGGACCAAAAAACTGCAACCTGAGATCAAATAACGGCGAAGTAATCGAGCATCCCGGCGTTGGCAAACATGCTCGACGCACTGCATTATTTAGGCAGTTTCATAAGAATGCGGTATGCATAATTATACTGCAATACCTTATTCAGCATTTTGCAAAGCCTTAATAAAATCATCATAATATTTATCAAATAAATACAAATGCGTATAGCATACTTTTAAACGACTAAAGTTACAATGTATACAGTTTTCCACGTGACTAGAAAAAACAAAATTACTTAAAATATCACAGCAGTTCACATTATATAGGTTAATTTCTTCATCATTTCTATTGCCCCAGCGAACACCGAATAACGACTTATCTTCTGTATACATAGTAAGTTTTTTTGGAATTATATTTACTTCACACGTTATTAAGAGGGGATAATGGTCAGACCAGTACACTTCAAGATCCACACACGCGGAGGTGGCTGTGGCACGTGCAGCAGCCGTCACTATGCAGTGATCTAACCAACGCTTACCACCACTGCAGTCATTTACATTCGTAAAAGTGTCCAAGCCTAAAATTTCTTTAAAAACACATATCAATGAGTGATCTACACAAAAATCTAAAAGTTTGTTTCCGAATCTGGTACCTGAATGTGCGTTGAAGTCACCTAAGACGTAAATAGCCTCAACATCAATGTCACTAATAACAGCTTCGATTTTACCCAAACAACATATGAAGTCTGATAAACTGTCTTCACTTCCATCGTCATATGGTAAGTAGGCACACACCAGAATATGGCATCCGCCCAACTCAATTTGCACAGCCGCTAATCCAACACAGGTGCAGTCTATGATTGATACGTTAGGAAACAAAGACTTACGCGACATCAATGCGAGACCCCGTACGGTCGGCCTCTTAGTACGCCCGCCAAAGTATCCACTGCTGAATTAGCGAAACAACTGAAGTCCTCACTGATCTCGTTCATAAAACCCAAGTCATGCGGCAGAAGCCAAGTCTCCTGCAGAGCTAAAATATCGACACACTCAGGCAAATTCTTTATTTGTTCGACAGATCTTTTAATAGAACGACAGAGGTTTCGTGTGCTAACATACCTAACATTTGTAAACATTATATGTAACAATAAACATTTTATGCATAAACAGTGTTTTAAGTAACATTTACATCAAAAGGTCTTTTTGGTCCTTAGAGAGTGAAGTGTGATTGTGATTTTTTCGGTGATAGCGAATCGGTTTGTCTGGCCTCCAAGAAGCGGGTCTCATCAGGCAGATTGAGAAGGCGCATATATCGCTTGAAGTTCATCGTCACACGGACCGCAAACAGGAAACGACCAGTTCACTTAACACCTATCGAATACCTATCAACAATAACACCATGGAAGACTTACAAGCAAATCAACAACAGGTGGTTTCTGGTATGGAGCAGCTGCTCAGCAACTTCAAAAAGGACGGCGCCGACCGTAAGACTGCTGCTCATATCAAAAACCGACTGGAGACTTTGGATACTTACTGGCAGGAATTTCAAACCTTCACCTCCAAGTACGTGAGTTGTGAGATGAAAAGCATCCCTACATTCTACAGAATCAATACGGACTAGTTCTTGATTTTTATACAAAAACAAAAGACTACATACAAAGTTTCTTACCAACTGAAGACAAATCAAGACCCTCTACTCCAATCATTAAACCATCAACTTTCAACCTCCGCCGCCCACATTGTCAGCAACACCGCGACGAGTGGATCGCAGTATTAACAGCAAGCTGGATGAGATGTTGCGTAACTATAGAGCTTTTAAGGGAACGTTAGCAAATAGTGACTTGGATTTATTAACCGATAACTGGGAGTTAGAAGATGCTCTGAAGACCTTGAGTGTTATTAACTCTCTTCATTGGGAGCTCGAAAGCGAGCTGTAGGCTACTAACGTAGCATACGAACAAGAGTTTTCCATCCAAGAGAGAAGCTTTAGTGACATAAAGAAGGCGATCAACAAGAACATATAGTCAACGGCTCATCAAGAAAAATCTACAAGCTTAATATTCTTATCTTCAACGGAAATTATCACCTATGGGTTCCGTTCAAAGATCTATTTCCGGAATGCATTCATAACATATATGCATTTTATACGTGGTAGAGCCATGCTGCAGCTATATTATGGTTGTAGCACGAATGGGTCGGCTCGACCGGGGAAGGACCACGCTCTCACAGAATACCAGCGTAAAATAGCAGCTTAACGCTGCTGTGTTTCGTATCGTGAGTGTGGAGAACCGGAGACCCTTTTTACTGGAAACGAGGCATTCCATCTTAGTCCTCACGGGTGACAACGCATCTGCATTCTGATTCTTAATCGAAGATAGATTTAGATGTATATGGGCCACAGCAAACATTTACCATCAGGTGGACTGTGTGCTCGTTTGTCACCCTTATCTTCTAAAAAAAAATAACAATCGCTCCCTTTCAAATGCTCAAAAAATGCAATTTTTAAAGAGTAAGTTCAGGGGAGAGGCGGAGCGGCTGATACAACACCTACAGATAAGCTCGGATAATTATATTATCTGTTGGGACAGTTTAAACAACCGATACAATAACCCGAAACTTATATTCACTTCTCATGTGAACATACTAATGACTTTGCCAGTTTCGCAACAAGCATCAGTGACCAACATTAAGAAAATACACGACACTACGCTGGAATGTATGTTTTTAACATCTGGACATGTGAACTATTATGGAAACGATGTTACAAGTGCTTCAGTGGTGATATTAAAGTAAGGTTTTATACCCGCTGAAGGACCTTGAGGTAATATCGTTATTAACTCTCTGCTATGTGATGCTGTCGTCAAAATGTCCCAAAAACTTCACAATGTGACGCAGCAGTATATTGTGAAGAGTTTTATGGACAAAATCAAAATCAGACAAGACTGTATGGGCTAAGACTTTTGCCTGCCTTAATTGGCGAATCTTACAACAAGAACAAGGTGTCAGTCAGCTGCTATAACTGTTCTGTCAATTTAGATTTGGAAACTTGGGAAGTAGGGATGGTCGATGTTGCAGAAACATCGATGATGACATCGATGTTGGCATCGCTAGCTATCGATATGGACCATTATCGATGTTTTTTGTATATGTAGGTACTTACATATTGTTTCAAAATTATGTGGGTATACACAGCAAAGGAAAAAGTAACTATTAACTTGAATATAAATTTACGTAGAATAGTTATTATGTGACAACCGACAACGACACTACAAAATAAAGCGAAAGCAGTGACCACCATGACATTACAGGTGACACTTGACAATAAGGGCTAGTAATTTTCTGCTTACCAGATATCGCTAGTTGACACTGAGGTAAAGTTTTTTGTTTCACAGTGTAATATAATTGAGAAGTTAATTTTTAATACAAATATAAAGTTTATCAGTTTCTGGAGTATTAAATTAATACACAAAACAATGCGTCAGTGGTTTGCTCTTTCATTTTTTTGCACATTTTTAACTTTTTTCTTCTACTTTTATGAACATCTGTGGTTTGGTTTATTTATTTATAATCCTATTTATCCTATTTATATAAAATATAGCTAATAGTGCAAAAAGAAATTAACTTCCCCGCTATGAAATCTGTCATATATTATACCTCGCTTTCTAGTGTCGCCATCCTGGTAACAAAGAAAGTCGTGGATGTTTTTTTTTGTTTTTTTAGGTTAGCGATGCGTTCAGGAATTCCGAATTATTCAAATTTTTAAATCTTCAGAGGAGATACAAGATTTAAATAATATTGATTTTGCGGGTTCGCATTGTTCGCAAGTTCCCAATAATCGATTTTGGGTTCATTGACATTGATGTTTCTATGTTTGACATGTGTCAACATCGATGTTTTAATTTTTTAACATCGATGATCAATGATCATCGACATCCCTATTGGGAAGTGGGAATGGGAAGTGGGAACTTGGTGGTTGGTGGGTAGTTCTGTGAACCAGCTTGTATTACTTTATATTTCTTCTTTCTAAATAAAAAAATGAGTGACGTGGATAAGTGGATAGAAATTGCGAAAAAATGTAAATATCTTCCAGAAGATGATTTGCGGGAATTGTGCAATATTGTGTGTGATTTGTTGTTCGAAGAACCAAACGTTCAGCCGGTACAGACGCCAGTTACGGTTTGTGGGGATATACACGGCCAGGTAATTAATAGCCCAGTTTTCAGTTTAAGCAGTAGGGCTCTTATATATTAGAGAACGCTTTTTGCATTTTCATATTCATATTTCTGTATCCAACAGGTAGCACACAGAAACAGGTTATTATTATATATAAGTAATATTATGACATTTTACACAAAAATATTTTGTACCATATTCAGTTTTGGTTCAGAAGCATACCATGAAGCAAATACAAAGAGGAGACGTTGTAATTCAATTTCACTATGAAACAACGCGTGACAATTTGCGGGGTGAGGGGATGCAAAGGCCCGCCCACTACACTATCTACATCTACCGATAAATAGTAAAACTACTTGAATCTTTTCATATCAATGTTGCAATGTAGCTTAGCTACCTTGACGGTAGATAGCGGCATATCTACAAAATGTTATAAACTAAAAAATAATATTTTAGCAATTAAAATTTCTTTATGTCTGAATGCAAAACAAATTTTAGCACGTTCGTATGATTATTTTATCATTACTAAGCTCTACGTACCTTTATATTTTTAGTTCACAGGACACAAAGTGTCGCCATCTAGTGTGGAATATATTTAATTATATTTGAAAGCCGACTCAAAGAGATTTTTCTAGAACTATTTTAATAAATTAGGTGTAAAATTACTTACAAATGAAATGTGATGCCATCCATAGCATCGGAGCGTCTATCTCATGAAGCAAATACATTCAGACAAAGAAATTTTAATCGCCAAAATAATATTTTTAGTTTTCATAATCATTTTGGGAACAGGCCGCCATCTATTGTCAGGTAAACCTCATAAAAAATTACAAAAAGACAGGGCCGCAATTAGAATTCAATTATTTTACCCAGTAACCCAACATTCAATATTAAAATGAAGGAAATTGTACTTGGCTGATTTTTACGAAATGTTTAAGTTATATTTAACTGACATTCTATATGCAAAGAATCACTTAAATACAATTTAAATATGTTTATCATTTCGTGAAAGTCAACCTTCAAAAAATATTTATTTTATCCATAAAATAAAGTCTCTTTGAAACTAAATATTCTATGTTCAATATTAAGTAGGATATTTAATTTGGAACTAAATATCCTATTTATCTCACTAATATTATAAAGACGAAATTTTGTGTGTTCTTTCTGTCTCCTTGAGCTTATTCTACACTAAGTATATACTGTGTATGTGTAATTTTTTCACGCAGAAACGGCTGGACTATTATTTATCTGTGGGTTATACTACTTAATATCTCTGAGGGAGAACAAATAATAGACAAATTATTATAATTAATATAATTTTATTTACAAATCAATTAAAATATAAATATTTTATTCCAAATTAGGCATCCGAATGCACTTTTTGAATGCCAATCTAAGAACATTAAATTGTATTTAAATGATTCTTTGCATATAGAATGTCACTTAAATATAACTTAAACATTTCGTGAAAATCAGCCTAAGTATAATTTCCTTCATTTTAATATTGAAAGTTGGATTACTGAATAAAATAATTGAATTCTAATTACGGTACTGTCTTTTTGTTATCTTTATGAGGTTTACTTGACGATAGAATACGGCCTTTTCACATAATGATTATAAACTATAAAAATAATATTTTGCGATTAAAATTACTTTATATCTGAAAGCAAAACAAATTTCAGCACCTTCGTATGTTTATTTTACCAATATATGGACCTTTATATTTTTAGTTCACATGACACAAAGTGTCGCCATCTAGTGTCGAATATATTTAATTATATTTGAAAGCCAACGCAAAGAGATTTTTCTAGAACTATTTTAATAAATTAGGTGTAAAATTATTTACAAATGAAATGTGATGCCATCCATAACATCAGAGCATCTATCTGAGTAGTTTTTACACAATAAAACACAACACTTCATCCTTTTCTTCTTAATACTACGAAAATACATCGATTTGCGATTTTTGCAACACATGAGCGCACAGGACGAATGCTGACAGTATACTAACTAAAGCCACGCCCACTATGATGACGTCAGGACCTACTTAGAATCACAGTGCACAGTTGCTTATGCCGTCTCCCCTTTGTATTAGCTTCATGAAGCATACACTTCTTCAGACAATGAGCTTGTGGAGTCAGTGATTTTGACTTAATAATGGAGACAGCACGAAACTTAACAGTGTCTTAAAATTGAGTAGTTTTTGAGTATTTGGGCATTAATTCTTCTATCGATAAAATGTAATTTCAATTTAAGTTGATATAAAAGATATACAATGTAATGAAAATACTTGATATAAATATATGTTATGATTTTCAGTTTTATGATTTAGAAGAATTGTTTCATATTGGAGGTCAACTACCACAAACAAAGTATATTTTTATGGGAGATTATGTAGACCGTGGTTACTACAGTCTGGAGACACTTACTTTGCTCTTGGCATTAAAAGCAAGATATCCTGACAGGTAAAATTAAAAAGAAAATCCTATGACCTTAGATTATATAACTATACTTCTTGTCTTGTATTAAAAACACCAAATAATGTGTGTCGTTTTGTTTTACTTTTGGTGCATTACAAAGTTTTGCTTGAATGTCAAACTAAATGAGGCTTTTACAGTTCCTATGGTGCCACAACTTGAAGGCAGATTCATATAGATCTCGATGAGATGCACCGAAAATTAAGAATAATTTTTTTCAATATCTCGAAATCTAAGTGAAATATATCAAAAATCGAACACTATAACTGAATCAGCACGCCCCGCCTCCACTTAGTCTTGTCTGCCCTACCCCTAGAGAGTTTTTGTAAAGCCGTAGGCTTAAAGGTAAAGGTGAGTATGGGTTATTTAGTGTAATCAGCTAATACATCGTTTTTTCTTAGGATCATTCTTCTCAGAGGAAATCATGAAACATGTCAAATTACAAAAGTCTATGGATTTTATGATGAATGTCTCAATAAGTATGGGAATGCAAATGCTTGGAAAGACTGTTGCAGAGTGTTTGATCTCCTTACTGTAGCGGCTGTAAGTATTAATAATATTTAAGTAATTATTGGCATCCTATATCTTTTAGTATTCATACTAAAATGAATCTAATATATAAAAGTTAAGTTTTGTTTTTTTGTATTTCATGTGCTGCCATACTATTCATCAGATTGTGTTAAAACTTTGTTAAGTTATTGCTTGCACTTGTGCGAAATTTATAGACATAGTACAATTAACTTACAATAGGTGGCGCGTGTATCGTACCGATAAATTTATTTGAATGTTCAATTTCAATGAGGATTCTATCGTGTTTAATTTAACTTTTTAATTCCTGACGTTTCGGGTGCTGTAAAGTGGTCACGGGGGGGACTCGTCGGAAACTCGGGAAAACGTCGGGAATTAAAAAGTTAAGTTAAACATGATAGAATCCGTAAAAATTAGTTTTATTTAATGTGTAGTCTTAGCGTAAATATAAGAAATCAGAATGTATTCCTAACTAAACAATATAACTCTTCCAAATTTAAAACAATATTTCCACAATTGTTTCTTCTGCGGTAACAACATGCCGGGTACCAGCTAGTAATTAATAAAAAGAAAAGATGTTTAATGAATTTAATTATGTACTTACATTACTAGTAGGCAGTGACAGTGTCATAAATATTATTAAATATAAGTACTTTTTTATAGTAATCTCATTAAATTGCCTCATGTTTTTTTCAGTTAATAGATGAGACTGTTTTATGTGTCCATGGTGGGTTATCACCAGAAATTTCAATGTTAGATCAAATACGTTGCATAGATAGAAATCAACAAATTCCCCATAAAGGTGCCTTTTGTGATCTACTCTGGTCAGATCCTTCTGATATTGAAATGTGGTAAGTTTTACCTGTTTATGAATCTGTTATTTCTTTTTTTTTTTTTTGATGATATACAGTGGTTGAAAATAGCTTATTTTTACAGTTTATTTTGATTGCACTAGAAAAATATGCTCCAATAGAATAACTTTCGCTAAATTTAGATAAAAGTAAAAAATAATGTTACAAGCTATTATAAGATCATTGCTGAATGTAGTTCTCTCCCATAGATCACCTTAAAGGGGTTATTTTCTATAGTTGCCACTTTTGGAAGACGAGTTGGTACTGTAGCTTTTTTATTTTTTAGTTGTTATTAGGGAAATAGTACTACCCATCCTCTATAATAGATAGTATGTTTTCAATAAATTTAACATTCTAAACAATAATCAGTTTGCATTAAATAAGGCAAGGTGTGTCTAGTTGCACAGTTAATAAATGTTTATGAATATATGAAGCATATTATTATTTTAATTTACAGGGCAATGAGTCCTCGAGGTGCTGGTTGGTTGTTTGGTAGCAATGTTACTGAACTATTTATGAACTACAATAATTTAAATTTAATATGTCGTGCACATCAACTCGTAAATGATGGTATGTAACTGGAATTTTATTCTTTTTAATATATTTTTACCTGTGTATCATAGTCACTTGAAAATACGAACATATAGAGCCCTCTGCTTATTATATATTGGCTGCTTACGTCATATATAATGATTTCTTATATTTACGCAAACACTACACATTTAAATAAAACTAGTTTTACGGATTTTATCGCGTATATTAACTTATTTTAACTATATACATAAATCATCTTGAAGCGTGCTTCCATTAAAACTTACTTCAAGCCACTGAAGAAGATTAGTCAGCTTTTACCATCAGTCAAGTGTAATGTCCCTCTGCAAGATGCAGGAGTGTACAAGCTCAAGATGCAGGTGTGATTGTGAATGTGGTCTCTCATATATAGGACAAACTAAAAGATCAATAAAAACCCGCATTAGAGATACATAATATAATGTCGATTCTTCACACATAGCTGATGTGAAGAATCGACGCTCCGGGAAGTCTGCAGTCTGTGAACATGTCACTACATTAGATTTGATAGACCACAAATCCTCGCTAAAGAACACCGATTCCTTCCAAGAATGATTCGCTAGGCTATTCAAATCAAAAAACGATACTAAAATACTAAATTGATACTTCTACATTTTTTACGTGGTAGAGCCATGCTGCAGCTATATTAATGGTATATTTGTGGCGTGAATGGGTCGGCTCGAACGGGGAAGGAACACTATCTCACAGAATACCAGCGTAAAATAACAGCTTGACGCTGCTGTGTTTCGTATGGTGAATGTAGAGAACCTGATACCCTTTTTACTGGAAACGAGGCACTCCATCTTAGTCCTGCATTTTGATTCAAAATTGAGGATAGTTGTAGATGTCTATGGGCCACAGCAACCACTTATCATCAGGTTTTTTTTTATAGGATAAGGGTGAAAGACGAGCACACAGTCCACCTGATGGTAAGTGGTTGCTGCGGCCCATAGACATCTACATCTATCCTCGTTTGCGAATCAAAATGCAGATGCGTTGTCACCCGTGAGGACTAAGATGGATTGCCTCATTCCCAGTAAAAAGGGCCTCCGGCCACCTGCACTCACCAAGCGAAACGCAGAGGTAAACCTCTACTTCACGCTGGTATTCTGTGAGGTCGTGGTACCACCCCGGTTCGAGCCGGCCCATCCGTGCGACAGCAAAAGCTGCCGCGTGGCTCTACCACTGTTTAAAAGGTTGTCTCTGTGTTCGTTTGTCACCCTTATCCTATATTAAGAAAAACTTTCGTGTCACATAATGCTGAATTTTATTAAATCTCTTGTTTACGGTGTATTTTATTTTCACAGGTTATAAATATATGTTCGACAAACGGCTAGTCACAATTTGGTCGGCGCCAAATTATTGCTACCGCTGTGGAAATGTTGCTTCAATTATGGAATTCCTTACTGTAAATGACAGAAACGCAAAAATATTTCATGCTGTTCCAGATAGTGAAAGAGAAGTGCCTCCACAAAACACAACTCCATACTTTTTGTAGGTTATTTTTTTTAATTATAATCATGTATGTAAATTTCTCATCATTACTTAGGTTATTTTGTATAATAAATTGTTGGATATTATATAGATTTTTCTTTATTTTTATAAGTAAGTTGATATATTGATAGCCGAGTGACTAAGAATAGAATAGAATATTTTTTATTCAATATAGATCACATGATGTGTAATTCTTATTGAAAGTAATTTTTTACTTTACCACTGGTTCGATAAAAAACCCTCTGTCCTTGGAAGAACCAGCAAGAAACCCAGCGGGACTTTTTTTAAAGTAAATTTATATTAATGGTTGTACAAACTATTTACAAAATTTATTTTAGAAACTGCTTGGAAGCGACCACCTCATTCCCAGGAGTTATTATCAGCAGTGTATTAATTTGTAATAACTATCTTTATACAGTTTCAGCTTAATAAAACATTTAATATAATAATAATAGAGAGAGCCTCTACACTTTCCGGGACCTTGTTGTAAAAGCGTATACATTATGAATGAATTAATCACTCTATGGAGTCGAGAAACTGGTATCACTAGCTTGTGTTTGTTCCTAGTGTTTACCAAGGCCTAAGTTTATTTATTTATTTCTTTAAATTTATCTCTAAGAGACTCTCGGTTTTAAGTTTTAAATAACTCTAATGGCCTCTTCTGTAAAACAAAAATTGTTTCTGAATCAACCGCATTTCCCCATAGCAAAATCCCATAAGACATTATGCTGTGGAAATAACTGAAATAAACTACTCGTAATCTAGATGTCTCGACACTAGTGAGACTTCTAATCTTTTTTACAACATAGGCTGCAGAACTTAGTCTGCTTGCTAGTTTGGATATATGGGGGCCTCACTGAAGCTCTGTGTCGAGGGTGATGCCTAGGAAAACAGTGGATTCAACAGGGCTCATTTCTTCCCCATTTAGTATACATTGGTATTCAGATTTCTACCATTCGATGTTGTAAATTTAATACATGTAGTTTTATTTCCATTTAAATGCAGATTATTAATGTTAAACCAATGCACTAATTTTGATATAGCATAATATTACTATTAATTTTGATATATTCACTTCGTCATATTTAAATGATTGACGTTTAAGTTTAAAAATCAAGGAAATATCATCAGCATATAATACTATATCTTAATTAACCCCTACAAGGGAAGATAAGTCATTAATATACACTAGAAATAGGAATGGGCCAAGAATCGAGCCCTGAGGGACTCCCATTAATTCAGGTGCCCGGAAGAACTTTTACCATTGATAATAACTTTCTGCATTCTATTACTTAAATATGAAATAGTAAGTCGAAGCGCTGTGTTCTTGACACCATAGTAGTAGTGGCTTCCTGATTAATATTTCATAGTGAACACAGTCGAAGGCCATAGAAAGGTCATAAAATCTACTCAAAGCGTTCTCTGAATTCTCACATGCACAAAAATATGTTTAATAAGCTCAACTCCAGCGTCAGATGTCGAGCGACCCCTTGTAAAACCGAATTGATTTTTATGTAGCAATTTATCAATATTAAAGAAACTTACCATTTTACTTTTATCTTTGTTTATTTTCTTTATAATAAAATAAACAAAGATATTTATATATACGACAAAACATATCACAACTGTAAAAAACTTTTGTTAGAATGGATTCATTTTATTTATTTATTTATTCTTTATTGCATTCCTTAATCTAAAAGAATACAAAGGGCGGACTTAATGCCTTGTGGCATTCTCTACCAGTCAACCCATGGAGTGGTGAGAATTTGAAGTAGGTGTAGCAATATAGAATAAAAACAAAATAGAAATGTATAATTAATTACGTTATATATACATTTTACTAATATATACAATAAATAAACTATAAAAATATATCCTATTTATACATGTATACAAATATATACGTACATACATAAGCATACATATATTCATACCAACATACATATACAAATAATACATATAAATAACTATAAATATATAAATGACATGGATGATTCATCTAAGAAGCGTTGTCTTTAACAGATGATTACGCACCAAATTTTTAAAAGCAAACTTATTGGGAGCTTTTCTGATGTCGTCAGGCAAGGAGTTCCAAAGGCGTGCAGCATGGACTGTAAAGGAGTTACCATAGAACTCGGTGAAGTGAACTGGAATACATATTTTGTTGTTAGAAGACGAACGTAGAACCCTATCATGAGATGAGGAGAGATAGTGAAATTTACTCTTAAGATAAGAAGTCGAAAATGGGTCATTTAATATGGAAAAAAGAACAAGTAATATTCTGGAAATACGCCTCTGCCGGATTGTAAGCCAATTGAGCTTAGATCTATATTGCGAAATATGGTCATACTTACGAAGCCCGAAAATAAATCTTATACAGTTATTGAGAAGGCGTTCCAGCTTGTTCAGAAGATCCTGGGACAGATCCGGGTAACACACATCTGCATAATCAATTATGGGTAATATGAGTGATTGGACAAGCATGATCTTAGATTTTGTGGGGAGAAAATGTTTTAAACGATACAGAGTACGTAACGTAGCAGTGACTTTACGACTGACTTCAGTAACCTGAGTTCTCCAATTCAGCGTGCTGTCAATGTGTAGGCCAAGATTTTTTACAGACTTATTGAACGGTATTGTAATCCCATTGTAGTAGATAGAGGGTATGTCTGCAAGATTAATCTTGGCTAGCATCCTTGAGCTACCCACCAGTATAGCTTGGCATTTTGAAGGATTGATCAATACTCCATAACGAGTAGACCAATCCTTGATAGCTTGTAACTTGTTATTTAATTTTTTAATCCCATTATGGATATCCCCAATTTCAGCTTGCACGTATAAGCTGAAGGTCATCGGCATACAGATGGTACGAGCAATCGAAGATGGAGGTAATAAAGTATATAAAAATAGAAAAAATTATAGGAGAAAGAATACCGCCTTGCGGTATACCAGCTTCCACATCAGCCCAAGCTGAGGTTATTTGCCCCACACAGACTGACTGCTGTCGACCCCGAAGATAAGATGCAAACCAATCCAATTCTGTAGGGCCAAAATTTAGATGAGACAGTATGGATACAAGGATTTCATGATCAACTGTGTTGAAAGCATTTGAGAAATCAACTAGTACCAGTACTGTTACTTTTTTTTCTTCCATACCGTTTCTAATATCGTCTGTGACGTTAATTAAAGCAGTACTGGTACTATGACCAGGGCGAAATTCATCATAAGACATATGACGAAATTGAGAAGCTACTGGATTGTGTAGCATGATTTGTTCAGATTCAGACACTGTAATCACACATACTCTTTTCTCACGCAAGCATAGACACAAACACACACACACACACACACACACACACACACACACACACACGTATACATAAGTAAATAAACTAAGAATAGAATTAATATAGAATTTAAGTAATACGAGGGTGGATTGAAAAGTACTCGGCCTAACCAAGAAAATAAACACATACTAAATCAGTTATATTTTTATTTTTCTACATAATCACCATCAAGTTCAATACACTTTTGCCACCTCCCCTTCCAAGCATTTAGACCGTTGAAAAAAAATGATTCTTCCTTAGAGTCAAAATATGCGTCTACAGCTGCTTTGACCTCGTCGTTTGTCGAAAATCTTTGACCTCCCAAGTGCTTTTTTAGGTTAGGGAACAGAAAGAAGTCTGATGGTGCCAGATCAGGTGAATACGGCGGATGCGGTAACAGTTCAAAGCCACAGTTGTGAATTTCAGCCATTGACTGTACTGACGTGTGAACACGGGCGTTATCTTGATGAAACAGGACTTTTCTTCTGAGCATTCCTCGACGTTTTTCTTTTATTTCCTCTCGTAAACGACGTAGTAAGGTGCAGTAGTAATCAGAGTTTATATTCTGACCCCTTTCAAGATTAGAACATTAATATGGATATAGAACATTAATATGGATATAGAATATGTTTATCCATACTGCCTTGTAACATGGATATAGTAATGGAAGGGCGGACCCTCCAAACACAGGCATTATTTGCTTAAATGGAGGTTCCAATCTACTAGTTTTTAAGGCATTTACTTTTTAAAAACGAAATAAAATTTATTTATTTATTTATTATTTATTTACTAAATGTTGGTAGTACAGAAATTGGTTTAAATTTGCGGGGTCTAATGCACTACCAGATTTAAATAAAGGCATGACTTTACTATGTTTAATTACATCAGGAAACACACCAGATTCGACGCATGTATTAAATATAGTGGCTAGATAAGGTGCTATTGTATCTATTATAGATAAAATTAGTTTTCTTAATATCAATAGTTTTAAAATATTTAACGATATCTTTTGGCAGTACTCTATGGAATTTAAAAGTATTTGAACAAGCCTTTTTTTTTACATTTTGTTTAAACAATGATTCGGTGACAGTAGAAGAATTTAATGATTTTGTTGTCAAAAAAGGAACAGTAAAATGTTTTTCAAAAGCCATAGCAACTTCTTGATCAGATCGAGTTAAATTATTGTTAATATTCAATTGAAAATCCGAGTTGTGCAGTTTGAGCTTGCCCGTTTCACTATTTATTATTCTCCAGGTCATTTAGATGCAGTTTTAATTTTGTTGCTTAAATTTCTCTTCTCGCTCCTTAGCCGTGGAGCTAACTTTTTTAAATATCTTAGAATATGTTTCTACATAATCTCTAAATATAACACTACTATTATATGGTCTTTCATTATAAAGCTTGTATAACCTTCGCCTACTTTTATAAATTTCTACTTTCGCCCATTCATTAAATTGGCGATTTGCGACTGTTAAAAGAAAGTTTGAGAAGTAAATATTCTACTAAATTCACAACTTATAATTTTAAATAACGTACCACACAAATAATCAGCTATGTTACTTCTAAACCTCTCCAAGCGATGGTCATCTATTGGAACAAACACAACTTTCTTATTTTTCTGTTTTGTGTATGTAAGGCAATGATACCAACTGTCCACAGTGATCTGAACTAAAATTTGTATAATTGATTTATGCAAGAGCATTTGTAAAAATGTTATCTATACAGGTCGCACTAGACCCAGCAATACGTGTTGGTTCTAAGAATAAATTAACAAGATTATACGAGTTAAACAATGATCTAAACTTAATACTAATGGAATACTAAGATTCAAGGAGATTGATGTTAAAGTCTCCACATATTACTACAGACTTGTTCTGTTTACTAATTTTGAGCAAAACCTCTTCCACAATCCTTTCAAAATAGTCATAAGTAGCAAATGGGGGTTTATAAACACAACAATGTGGTGCTCGAGCTCGACACAAGCCATTTCTACAGTTCGCTTAACAGAGAGGCTCACAATATCTTTACGTTCATTATATAATCTAAGTGTTTGGCTAAAGCGTTGCAGGGCCGGGGGTTCGAATTCCGCATGCATCATGTGTTTATATAGTCTAAAAATAACTTCACAAACCTGTGATATGTAACAACTTTTCTTTCTAAAAAACACTGATTTCTCCGAATCATAGTATGGGAAAATGAATATTCACCCCCTCAGTCCTGTGTACACAAAATTTTCAAATCTAAACATTCCACCAGCATCTATACAAATTTTTCACATAAACGTGTGCGAAATACTTTTTTTAAACTGTTAGGGCGCGTTCCCACGATACGCACCCGCTACGGGCGTCAGCACCCGCGTCTAACTAGCTTTGAAATTTGTTGCATATAATTTGAGTCTTATGACGAATCAATAAATCTGAAATTGCATTTATTGACGTTCAACCGCACACGCCACGCGCCCGCCTCGTTCGAGGAAAATTAAGATTATAACAACGTGAACGTCTTTGAAACTCAGATAATCTACCTACTTACCATTTTAACCGACTTCAAAAAAGGAGGAGGTATTCAATTCGACTGTATTTTTTTATGTGTGTTACCTCAGAACTTTTTGTGAATCGATTTTGATTATTCTATTTTTATTTGAAAGCTGGTGCTTATAATTTATACATCACATATAAATTTAATCAAGATCTGACCTGTAGTTTTGGAGTTATCTTTAATAATGCGTATTAATATTGAAATCGGTTGTACAAAATGTTTAATTTCATTAGTTGTCTCTCTTCCTCTTTTTATAAAAACGTTACCTCCACACTAGGATTTCCTCCTGTATCGCAGAGACAGTTTACATACATAGAACAGACCCAGAATAATTATTTAGTATAGTAGAATACACCGAGGTGTTATGCAATGTATTAGTATTTTTTTTATTATGTTAAAAAAAAACGTTACCCCCTCACTAGGATTTTCTCCTGTATTGTGGAGGAAGTTAAACATGCGACACATTACTTCATTATAAGTGAAAGAGTGTCAATGAGAAGTGCTATTTTTAATCTCTTTCTTTTATCGACCAAGTGTTAACCACCAGTATATGCTGATCTTGCGTTAGTAGGCAGTCACTAGTACTGGGAGGTCTACTTACACTGAATAGTTTTACTTTTTCTCATCCCTGGTATATAGTGTATTATCTATGGCCCCTCATAAGGAGCCGCGCAGCGTAGGTATATTTTCATGCCTAAAACGCGGAGTGAGACAGGCCTGCTAATGTCGAGAATACATTGAACGCTCCTCCTCCTCGTATATAGATCATAGAATTAACAAGGCATTACCCGGCAATACAAGAGGATCATGGGTAGATTCAGGGGCCTGTCTTTGAAAAAATAACTTTTAACCGGTTCAGTGCGGATGACACGCCAGGCGTCATTACTTTTGTGTGTGGCGTATGACACGCGAGTCGTGTCTTTTTGTAAATCGTTATAACTCGCTCAAATTGCTTTTTTGGAAGATTTATCCAGAACAAAATATTCATTATTTTGCAAGTAGTTCATGTCCGTAGCTTCGTTTCTCGATATTTTGAAAATTTGAAATTTTTAGGGGTTGAAAACCCTTTTTTAACTTGTACGTGGTAATCTTTTTACTTTGTGGGTATCATGTTGTGGAAAAATGTTCTAATAAGTAACAAATAATAGCACTCATTGCTGTCGCCCACAAACTCAAGTTGTAACTATATTTCTGGAAAACAAGTCTCCTGTTAAAAAAAAAAACAATGCGTTTGTCTAATTGTTTAATTTTGCTTAAAATTGTTGCACTGTCGTCTTATTACTATCATATGGCCGAATAGACCTACGAAGTACCATGTGCTCTTGTGATATGGCATAAGTTTTATTTTTGCTTGAAACAGTTCGAAACTGTTCATGCATAGAATTATTATGCGAAAAGAGTTCGTTAATAAATAGTCTTTTGTTTGTGCGCCGGCGTTTTTTTCCTTTTGAAAACACTTGATTTGCTATTCTTACTAATTAGACGTTTTCATATCGACTTTACTTTTACAATTGTCTAACATTAAATAATATTTAACATTTGTAATCAATGAATCATAAACCTTATTTTTTCCAAATTAAGGTTCTTAATTGTTTGATATTTACAAATATTATTATTAGATGAAAATTTAATTTAATAAAAACTAAGGCTTTCCAGGGTGATTTAGCTGTACCTACTTATAACTAAATTATTTTTTTATAAAACAAAAAATAGTACAAAAGGTTTGTAATCTCTGCATAAAAAGTCACTTACTCTCAATTTCAAAGAAAACACGTAGAAAAACACGTAGTTACCCACTAAAAACAAGTAACCTTTCGTTTGCATCTGATGTTTTATGTCAACTAAACTTAAGTCTAAACAAGTGAAAAAAGCATAAAAAAGAACATTACTTTTACACATGGCTAGTTGTGGCGCTTGACACGACAGGCGTGTCACGAAATATTTACAACTACGAGCGCTATAAGATTTTGGTTTAAAACAGAGAGGTTGAGCGGAACATTGGAGACAAAATTGTTGAATAATTTCAATGCTTTGAAATATATGCTATCAATTTTGTTAAATAATAATTAATGTCATCCATTTGGAGATGTGTTATAATAATTTGTAAATGTCAAAGTTCAAAAATGTCTTCTTCTTACACTCTTCCATTTTCTTTTTATTTAAGAAATGATGATAACGGTAGCCAAAGCAGTGTATAAACGACTATATAGTCGTCCATGTAATATGAAGATTTATAGGTGATCATACAACGTAATACCAGGTGCAATATGTATATTATGACTAATAGCTATCATAGACTGATGAGATATTGACATCATATTCAAAAAAAATCTATGAAGACAATAAATCATAATGTAATAGCGGTCTAAAATAAATAAAACTAATCATTTGTAGTTGTGGTACGACACATTTTATTGATGGTTGATATTTTTATGCAATTTTCATACTTTTTTGGTTTTGTATTGATCATGGAGAGAAATAAATATAATCAACAAATAATAAGACCCAATATTCAATTACTCTTTTTATTTTGTTATTTTAGGTTTCTGTATGATTTTTACTTAATTTTATCAGATATGAAGGTAGCAAAATAAAAATTTCCTGTTAGTAGCAAATTTATGACAATAGAAATTACAATATACTAAAATGTTTTTCTACTTAGTATTTAATCTCTGTTATAATCGAATGTATAGTCAAAGTAAGATTGATCGAAACTCTGTACACGGACATAACCATCTTCACCACCAGACGCATAACTTTTGCCATCAGGATGGAATGCTAAACTGTTGATGGGACCAAAGTGCCCTTTGACACGGCCGAATTCCTCTTCGAACACCAAATGGAAGAAACGAGCGTCAAATTTCCCCTGTCTCGTAGATGTTGTTGTCACTTCCATAGCATCCTGTCCTCCACCTAAAACTACATGGTCAAGGATGGGGCTAAGAGCTGCCGAGTTCACTGGTCGCTCAGTTTTATATTCTTTGAGTAGTTCCAGGGAACTGGTGTCAAACAGCTTGGCTGTCTGGTCTTTAGAGGCGGTGATGAACATAGTACCATCACGAGAAAGCTGCATGTCATTTATCTGATGATTGTGTTCCTTGACTGAATGTATTTTTTTGCCAGTCTGTAAAGATAAAACACAAAGTGATGAAAAGTGTTTAAATGACATTTTACGACTAAATAAGTGCAGCTTGTACAAAAAAAAATTACTTTTGTCCACTTTTAGATTTCTAAGGGAAATTATTGAAAAGGGTTCATATACCTATGGACTACACTTTCTTTCACTTTCAACTGTTCAGGTAAATGTTATTACATTTAAAGGTAAGCTTTCGTCCCGCGTCATGCGTCCGTGACATCGGACGCCAACGAGCTCATATTCATTGTGACGCTTCCGCCCACGTAAATATTGAGGTTATTTAATGCTATCTATGGGGTAGGCCATGTTCAGCTGTGGATGTTTGAAAGATTATAATGAATGAAGAATAAAACATTGAAATTATAAAATACATTCATCAACAACTGTCCACTGGATTCAAACAAATTAAACTGCAGGTGTGTTTTCCACATGGACTGGACATGTACACACAAGACTCGATGTAATATTAGAACACAACACTGGATACACTGCTGTGTGATAGTAGTAATGGGTAAAACTATGAGACCGATCTATCTAGACGGACTCTTGGTACAAAAAGAAGATGCAGCTGAGTTCTGCTATTTAAGGACTCGTAGGAACAAATAGCAATCTAAATCACAGCAGGCAGTATGAACTACCTAGCAATAAACACATTTCAAAATTTTGGACTTCATATTTATACATACCCTCAGATCCCATTGAATCAGATCACCAGCTTCATGACCAGTGATAATAGTCTCATCTAATGTTCCCCAAACCATAGAAGTAACCTTGGAGTCTGTGATTTCCCACTTCAGTATGGGGGATTGACTTGAGATGGAGTCATCAACAGTTCTTGTGTCAATTATAAATACCTGTAGAGTAATAATTATCATAAGGCTAGGATGTGGTTTTAGCAAGTTCTTTATTAAAAAGATTTTTAATAAAGAACTTGCTAAAACCACATCCTAGCCTGGTGATCAGAGAATGCTGCTACTATGATGCCGATCCCAGGTTTGAATCTTAGCACAAACCAACTTTTTTGATAAAACACAAATTTCAACCAGGGTTAATATTTGTGGAAAAATAAATTGTTGGTTCAGGTTGTTTTAACAACAAATAAATGGAGTCCCACTAAGCATCAAGTTGTCAGATGGTGGCAGCAGAAGCTTTGTGTGTTTGGATTTTGCAGTGCACATTTTGCAAATGTAAAATTTGGTATAAAGAAGACTTGCGTAGCGTAGTTAGTAGTAGCGTAGCTTGATGTCTGTAATTTAAAAAAAAAAGGTTACCTCACAAGGATGACGCATTGCTTTGTCAGTTGTGTAGGCAGCTTGATATGCACTATAACTGAAGTTGCATGTTCTTACTGAAGAATTGGTTTTTATTGTAGCAATGTTTTTACCAGTCTCCAAGTCCCACAACCTAAAAAAATTATTTAGTCTTTAATGATCAAAAGCAATACTATAGCAGTGATGATCTAATGACTTTTTAATGGTTTGCATTCTGAACCTTTACGAATATAATTTTATAAAGAATTTAAAAAATCATCATATGCCTCCCAAAACGGAAGGATTTGTCAGTTTGCATAAGCAGTAGCTTAAAAAAACAGCAGTCAGATTAGAATTTCAATAACTCTTTTCCGTGATAGAGCCATGCTGCAGCTATATTACTGGTATAGTTGTAGCACGAATGGGTCGGCTTGACCAGGGAAAGACCATGCTCTCACAGAATACAAGCGTAAAATAGCAGCTTAACCCTGCTGTATATTGTATGGTGAGTGTAGAAAATCGGAGACCCTTTTTAGTGGAAAAGAGGCATTCCATCTCAGTACTCAAGGGTTACAATGCATGTGCATTTTGATTCCAAATCGAGGACAAATGTACATGTATATGGGCCACAGCAACCTCTTACCCTCAGGTCAACTGTGCTTATTTGTCACTCTTATCCTAAAAAAAAAACTTCAAGGCAAATGCTAAAAATTTAGAGTTAATGAATTTTCAATTTAATATTTAAGATGCAAGCGTATCAACAGCTTTGTTTATGCTCTTTATAAAACAAGGAGCGTAACTAACTTGCAAACAGCTATTACCATTTATCACGCGTATGTAGCCTCCATTCTACGTTATTGGGTGATGATATGGGGCAACAGTATTGAGAGAGAGACAAAGGGCATTTGTAGCTCAAAAAAATGCATCAGAGCCATATGTGGGATTCCACCGGGCGAGTCCTGCAGAGCATCTTTTTGGAGCCTGGGCTTACTTCCATTGCCATCACTGTACATTTTTGAAATGAGTTGCTTTGTCAAAAGTCATACTGAGCTTTTCCAGAAAGCCAGAGATATAAACTCTAGATTGAAAAGAAATCCAGATAGATTAGTGTTAAGCGTCATTCCGAGATCTGCCAAATTCAGAAAAAGTTGTTTAGCAATGTGTGTTAAGATAAATAATAAGATTGACATTAATGCCCAACGACATTAAAAACCTCAAAATAAATTTATTTAAATCGAGACTATATAAGTGGCTAATTGAACTAAAAGTGTACGACATTAAAGAATTTATTGACCTTAGGCTTTAATAATTATTGATTTGTTAATATTCATTTTATGAATGTATTTGACCTTTTTTTTTTTAAATAAATGTAACTTGAAATGTATGTAATATAAACTTAAATTTGCATGCTAATTATAAGCAAAACATGTACTTATTTTACTGTACCACCTACAAATGCCATGTTTTAAGCAAATAAAGAAATTATTATTATTGGATTTTTCCCAAACATAAAAAACATAAGCTACTAAAAAAAAATAGAAGCAATATGAGTTCTGGAAATTTTAAGTAAGATATTTTACTAACTTCAAATGTCAGAGTCTTTTGGAAATATGAATTATACTGGGTGGCTACTTAGGTTATCACATTAAATAGAACAGCTGCCTGGCAGCCACCACTGAATGAGCAGGTGCTCCATCAAGCTGATACCATAACCGACTATTGGCCCCCAACGATAGTCCATCAATGTAATCCTCCACTGGGCCGTCAAGCAGTTCCAAAAATTTCTGCCCATTAAGGTTGCCTTTGATAAACACGGGACCAATTACTTGATCTCCGTATATTCCAGCCCAAACACTAACGGCAAATCTGTATTGGTGCACAGACTCTCAACACAGTTGCGAATTTTCTTAACTCCAGTATTGTATGTTCTGGCGATTTGATATTCCGTTGCGAGTGAATGTGCTCTCGTCAGTCCACATTATGTTTGCTAAAAAGTTAGAGTCATTAGCTACTTTGCTCAGAAGCCATTCGCAGTAGGCTTTCCTGACTGGCTTATCTAAAAAAGCGTACAGGCTTTATGTGTTTGAACGGCCGTTGCTTGTTTTTTTTTAATATTTTGTGAATAGACTTGTGGTGTACACAGAATTGGCGAGCTGCTCTATGGAGACTTGACGTTGTATTACGAGCGAAATAATTTAATATTTGTTCTTCCTGAGCCTAACTGTCAAACTGAACATTACGTAGTGATCGTCTCCGCATTTTAATTAGTAACAATAGTACAAAAGTGACCGATCGGAAAAAAAAGTGCACTAAAAATATCGAACAAACAGTATTGATAAATTTAAACTAATAATCCTTTCGTGGGAAGTGCTAAATACAGTGAAATAACCATCGAAAGTTTGCAAAATTATTGAAGTTATTAAAAACCATAGACAAAAATTGGAAGTCCAACTACTGTCAAAACCCTCAAAAGTTGCCAGGTCAAGCCTAAACCTACCAATTTGGTAGAAAATCGGTACCAAGTATGGACGAACAAACAAAAATGCTGTTGGCCACTATAAAGGAAGAGATTGAAAAACAAAATGATAAACAAACCCAAACCATAACCGAGACTATCAGCAAAACTATTGAAGAGCAACTGTTACCAATAAAAAAGGAAAACGAAGCTATGAAGGCTGAGATTTTGCTACTAAGATCGAAAGTAAAATATCTGGAACTTGAAACGAGGAAAAATAATGTCTTACTGCACGGGGTTGAAGAAACTGAAAATAACAATCTAGAATTAATGAATACTGTAATAGAACTATTCAACGTTCCCTGCACAACAGAACAAGCGGAGAAAGAGAAACACGACTGGGATAAATGGGAACTAAGCAGCATATACAGAGTTGGGAAAAAGACAGAAGGCAAGATAAGACCTATAAAAATTTCATGTACCCTAACATGGAGAAGAAACGAAATCTTGGAAAAGAAGAAAAAATTCCCAGAAGGAGTCTACGTAACAGAAGATCTGTCTAAAGAGGAACTGGAAGAAAGAAAGGCTCTTATCCCAAAAATGAAGGAAGCCAGAGCATCTGGAAAGTATGCAATAATAAGGAATGGCAAACTAATAATACGAGACAAAATGGAACCTGAAAAGAGGAAGAGAGCCCAATCCACCCCACCTTCTACTCCCCCGGACAACTTCAGCAAAGCCCCTGGAGAACCCAAGTTATACCAACTTGCTAAAATGTCGAGAATCAACCCAGCAGAAAGAATGAGAAGCCAATCGAAAGCGAATATAGAGGAGACATCAAAAAACTAGAAATAGGCGGTAGTAGAAATGAAAACAGTAAAACAACGAATACCACCAAAACTAAATTAACATTCCCCAACCCGGCTGGTCCCCGTGGGGAATTAGACCACCACCCACCAATCTCAAAAAAACCAAACAAACATACACTAGAAAACAACAACATTAACAACAAAGATAAATGTAATGCCCCCTTTAAAGAAAGTATCCAAATTGCAGCACTTAATGTTCTAACCCTAAAGTCGGACGAGAGTCTAACAGAACTAAGTAAAGCACTAAATGATATTAAATGGGACATTCTGGGTCTGAGTGAAGTAAGACGAGCTGGAGAAAACATACAAGAATACGAGGACTTCCTTCTATATCACATAGGCGAAAAAGAAGGCCAAAATGGGGTAGGATTTATTCTCAAAAAGCACATGATACAATATGTTGATGAGTTCATAGGAATTTCGGACCGTTTAGCAGTGCTAAATATAAAATTACCCAATTACGAAGATATGTGGTCTATTGTGCAAGTGTACTCTCCAACTGAACAAGCAGACAAAAAGACAATTGAAGAATTCTATGAGAATCTAAACAGTACTATAGAGAGACATACGCAGAAAAACTTAATAGTGATGGGAGACTTCAACGGCCAGACAGGTGAAAGCTTGCCAGAAGAAAGACGTGTTCTCGGATCTTTTACATATGGAACTCGACGAAGCAAAAATGGAGAAAGACTCATTAATATGTCTTTCGAAAACAACCTCTATATTCTAAACAGCAAATTTAAAAAGAAAGGTTCAAGGAAATGGACATGGGTATCACCAGGAGGCAAATACAAAAATGAGATTGACTTTGTTCTCACCAACAAACCAATGTGTTTCACCGATTTAAATGTTGTGAACAAATTTAATTTCAACACGAACCATGGATGGTCAGGGCAGATCTCACACTACGACATATAAAGACACAAAGACCCAGGAGGCACTTTGTTGGTAAGTTGAGTATTCAAAACCTAAAAGAAGCTGCAAATAAACTAACCGAAAGATTTGCAGACTTTGAGAAAGAAACCAAGAACCTAGATATTCAACAGAAATACGACTGGTTTGAGACTTCAATCAAACTAGCAAAAAGTACCTGCACTAATAAAGAAAAGAAGAAAAGCTATTTATCAATAAAAACAAAAAATCTACTCGAAGCAAGGAAACAAGTAATCAGTTCCAGAGACACAGAGAATCGTAGAAAACGCATATCAGAGCTGAGTAAAGATATAAAACAGAGTATGAGAAGGGATAGAAAACAAAACAGAAGAAAAAAAATAGAAGAGCAAATCATTAGAACAGGAGGAACAAAAAAAGCATATAAAGAACTGTCAGAATCAAAAGATTGGGTCACAAAAGTTAGAAATGAGAAAGGAATAGAACAAAATAGAAGATCAGACATAAAAGATATTGCTACATCATACTATAAACAATTATATGAGAACACACAAGAAGAACCTGGCGAAGTAATAGTACTAAACGATGATGAGGATGAGAGCATACCCTATATACTGCAACGAGAGGTAGAAGTAGCATTACAGTCCCAAAGTAAAGACAAAGCCCCAGGGCCAGATGGCATTGAAAATGAAATCCTATTAATGGCAAAAAATGTCCTGTTACCAGTTATCACGAAACTATTTAATGAAATTTTCGCAAACGAAGTTATCCCGATACAATGGACGCAATCTAATATAGTATTGTTATATAAAAAGGGTGATAAACTTAATATAGGTAATTATCGCCCGATCAGCCTTATGTCCAACTTATACAAAATATTTGCGAAAATACTGCTAAGAAGACTCGAAAGAAAATTAGACGACAACCAACCAAACGAGCAAGCAGGTTTTCGTAGAGGGTACTCAGTATTGGACCACATACATGTTATGAGGCAGATTATAGAAAAATCCCATAAATACAACCAATTATATTACATGGCATATATAGACTACAGCAAGGCTTTCGACTCTTTATTTCATAATAAGATATGGCAGGCCCTAAAAGAACAAGGTATAGAAAGCAAGTACATAAGGATACTGAGATAGATATACAAGAAAAGTACAGCATGCATACAGTTAGAAAAGAAAGGAGAACCATTTAGCATACAAAAAGGGGTGCGACAGGGCGACCCGCTATCCCCAAAACATTTTTCTGCGGCCCTTGAAATGATATTTAGAAGACTAAATTGGGATGGATATGGAATCAGTATCGATGGAACTTGGTTAACACATTTAAGATTCGCAGACGACATCGTTCTCTTTGCAAAAACCCCACATGAACTGAATGTCATGGCAAATGATCTGGCATTAGAAAGTCACACGGTGGAATTGAAAATGAACATGGAGAAAACGAAAGTAATGACCAACGGACCTAAGAATGAAAACATCAGGGTTGGCCAAAGTGAGATAGAATATGTTGATGAATACATCTATCTGGGCCAAATGATCTCACCCACAGACAACATGGAAAAAGAAATCAACAGGAGAGTAGCTAACGGATGGAAAAGATATTGGAGCATAAAGGAAATAGTGAAAGATAAAGAACTGCACATATCCATTAAATCCAAAGTATTCAACACATGCATTCTTCCTGTATTGATGTACGGATGTCAAACATGGGCTCCTACTAAATTAAACAGTAAGAAATTAAAAATATGCCAGCATTCGATGGAGCGAAGCATGATGGGAATCAGGAAAAAGGATCGAGTCAGGTTAGAAGACATTAGGAAAAACACAAAGGTTCGGGACATAGCAACAAAAGTCAGGAAATTAAAGTGGAAATGGGCTGGGCATATGAGTAGAGGGAAGGAAAAGTGGAGCAGGAAGGTCACAGAATGGTACCCCAGGAATGGCATAAGAAAGAGGGGGAGACCCCGCCAAAGATGGGAGGACGACCTGGTCAAATTCGCGGGTGTGACTTGGAACCGGGTTGCCAAGGATAGAAACGAGTGGAAAAGGTTGGAGGAGGCCTTTGCCGATTGGCAATCAGCAGAAGACAATGTAGATTTTATATGACTTAGATATTAAGAAATTGTATTACGTACTGTTGAATAAATGGCTTTATTATTATTATTATTATATCTTCCTGAGCCACGGGGACTCGCGGAGGAATTTCGACCTGACGCGGGATCAAATGTTGGCCGTAACGTAATCTTTGGACTGCCCATATAAAAATCCGTGAGTCTGTAGGACATACACGTGTGGTATTATACCTCTCTCGATATGTTAGTAATGCCAGGACCACGTTTTGGTGGCATTCTCCGTAAATCAAAATCATGTCGGTGTATTCCGACGACGTGAAATTGATACAAGGCATCTTAAAACTTAAAAAAAGTTATACATTAAAAAAAATAAAAGCATTCAATTGCACATGGGCTGTCACACCACTAAGTTAATATGATTATCTAGCGTCTTATTAATGTGTCCTCTCATAAATAAAAAAATACAATACAGTAAAAGAAAGCGTCCAATATCGCACAAACTGTCACACTACCTTCTTATCACAATTATTATTATTGTGTTAACATGTCCTATCACAAACAAATTAAGAAACTTATCAAAATGTCCAAAAAAACTCGAGGATATAATATCCATAGTAGATAAAATGGGAGATAGACTTAGATTTTTTGAATGAATATAAAGTTAAACCCACGTCCAATGAACTAGGATAGAATTGTCCCTTACAAATGTCAAAAAAGCAAAATTTTTTATTTTTAATTTGGCTGCATGCTACGGTCGGGGGATATATGTCTACTCGTTATGTCAAACGGGGATATACATCTCCCCGTTGCCGTGCTTTGCCGTGCTGCACGGCTAGCATGGGCCGAGGACAAAAATTTTATCCCCCATGACCAGAATTAAGAATGATTTGGTGAAAGAAGAAAGGAATGTTTCGGTGGTTTGGGCATGTAGAAAGAATGAATGAGAAAAAAGTGACGAAGAAAATTTACTTGCAGAAATAAACGGAAGAATTGGGAAGGGACGTCCGAGACCAAAGTTTATCAACCAAATTGGCGATATATAGAAGTTAGGCTAGGTTAAGAGTACCTTTAAACGACGTGCATGTATGCGTAGCTATATGGATCTAAAGGAAGCGAGAGAGGTGTGTCAGGACTGTGTCAAATAGAAGTCTATAGTCTCTGCCAACCCCTCTGGCTGAAAGGCTTGAGTGTTTATGCATTACTCACATACTGTTTATTAGACTTCTATTAAAAAGAGACAGTTGGCAAGTGCAAGATTATTAGCCAAATAGTATATTAAATGTGGTACCGAGGACAGATTATTATTTTTAGATATGGCAATTTTCAAATAGAATTATTCCACAATCTACTGGTTACCACGAAATTTTCCAGTTTTATAACAGTTGCCACACAATAAACATCAGATGACTCAGCTAAGATATACTATTACCACTAGTGATGGAAATTGTTTTTATTTAATATATTATGGCTATGGTAATATGGTTAGGTCATAATAATTTGGAAATTTGTCTGTCTTTGGGCTATTTTGTCAACTCTTTCCTTATTGGTAACAGCTTATCGGTGTGTTGCTGATTTTAGGTGAAAATGGATGGAAATTGTAATTATTTATTATAATGTTATGAAATCTAAAACACACCTGCAAAACTTCTTTTACTTATTACTAATGTTGTAAATCCATTTAAAAAATCGATCTTTTTCGGAAAGAATCGACATCCCTACTGATAATAACAATAAAAATTGGCGTCAGTTTTATTGTAGGATTAGACATAAACAATGCAAGAATAATAGATTTTCAATAACCTTTTCTCAAAAATTACGCGCTTCCGCATGTTGTAACTTTGTGTGTGTGCTTATAATAGTGTAACTTTTCTATAAAAATATGTATCATCCCCCAACTTGATGGGAGTCAATGGAAAGTTGTACCCTGATTTTCTTTAAATCATAATAAACAAAATAATGTTCACTATATATTACACCTATATTTACTATTGACATACAACTCAGAACAGCAAATTGTATATACTACAATCAACACCAGTTTAATTTTAAGAGTCAATCAAATTGGCGAAATAAAAATATTATCATCTATCGACTGATGAAGTGTGTAAGAATTTTGATATAACAACATATGAACATACCTGCAAGAACTGTCACCACCGCCAGTAATAAGATTGATGGTTTGCCAGTCTACATCAAGACACCACACGACACCACCATGACCATTGAATGTACCCAAACGTTCACCATTTAACGACCACCAGACGTTGGGCTTAGCATCCTTTGCAGCAGAAAATAGTAAGTCCCCTTCGCGGTTATACTTGATCTGTGTGATTGCACGTTCATGTCCTTGTAGCATAAGCGGTTTCTGAAAATTTAAGAATAAGGTGTAATGTACGCATATTCATTTCTTACTCACTATGTCTTTTTCTGAAACATTGTGGAACTGATACATTCAATACTTGCATGAAACGACTAAAGGTATATGCACTTACCATTTTTTAAGTTATTTATATGACTAAATACAGAAAAATCACCAAAATGTAAAATGTGACATGTGGCGGTTGCGGAAGTAATTTGACAGAAAAGAATGTCAATTCAATTGTCAATGTCATTTTTTAATAACTGGCTTTACGGCTCTGGGTTCTAGCCCTTCTGAGCCTGAAGTTACAATGTGTAATTATCCTTCATAGTACTCTGCTTCACAATATGTTGATGCGTCACATTGTGCAGCCTTTGGGAGATTTTGATGGCAACTTGAGCCAGCAGACAGACACGTTATCTTGAGAATCACATTACCATCACGGCACTTGTTTCACCGTTTCCACTAATAGTTCACATGCGCATACACTTAATACACAAAATCGCCCACTTTTAAATATCAATATCCACTTCAAACCATTATTTAAACAATAATACAAGAGGAGCAATCCTCCACCGTTCAAGTTCCCCCCAAAACTCTTGTCAATGTCAATGAAAGAAAGTATCTTCAAGCATAAAAAATAGCAAAGACATTTAAGTAGTAGTAGTAAATATATATTTTAAATCTCTTTGGAAAATAGTAACTTAGAGTAAAGAAAGAACATATGCACAGAAAATAGGTTTCTAAAAGAGAAACATAAACTTTTTTATTCAATTTATATATTATTTAAAATTTTATTAAATAATACTTATTGAAAGCCACTCTTTTGTTTAATTACCACTGGTTCGAAAAAAATCTTCTGTCCTGGGAAGAACCAGCAAGAAACCCAGCGGGACGTTTTTTTTTAAATAACAGCTTACAATCATCTATGTTACACAATTAACAACACAAAACAAATTATAAATGGCTTGGTAGCGATCACCTCATTTCCAGGGGTTATTATCTGAAAAGGACACACCTCAGTGGGCCGGCCTCCTGATTCAATCCGGCTCCAAAGACAACACTTGAAAAGGAACACGGTTGCGTTCAACAGCGGATTCCTTAATCTCCTATGACACCTACGTTGGGTTCGGGGACAACGAGGTGTATGTGAACCCCGTGAAGGAGTATCACACGAGAGTGTCTGCAGCCTCCTTTTCTTCAAATAGGTTCAGGCGGGGATTACGGGTCTTCCGAGGTCGTCCCGGTCCCAGCGGCTTAATTCTTCAATATGTGCCGCGTTAGCGACACAAGGTGGACTGTATTAATATTTAAAGGTGAAGGATCCCTTGGGAATAAAACAGCAATTATCTTCAAACCGCTTCGTGAGAGAGTAATTACTTTCCCTATTCCCTATACGTTTTCTTTCTTGATTATATAGGTATTATATTGGTAGCTGCTTCCGAACGATTTGTATTCTTTTTCTTTTTTTTCTCCTTATGGAGGTTTGCATGTGTCGAGGAGACCCTCTTTACATGGGCGGCATCTCAGGAGGACACTACCCCCCGGTCCTGGGTGCTGCGTTAGCAGCTTTTATGTTGGTGTATTGCGCACCTCGCGCCATCAAGTCAAGTGTCGGGACGCTCACTCACCCCCGGCGTCCCCTGTGCCGGGCAGTGAGCGTAGAAGTTCACGTGGGAGTGGTCGCCCGTCAGGTGGGCGGGCGTGGAGGGGAGCAAGATTTTGCAGATGTGGATGTGGCCCGTTATCTGCGCGGTCAAACAACCGTCTTGCAGTACAGGCCACGAATTCGGAGATGGATTCGACCTTGAGGTCGTGTGCGATGACATCGTTCCTGACGTAGCGACCGGCTCCCACGATCACCCGAAGCGCAAGATTTTACTGGGCCTGCAACCTCTTGCGCTAAGTGGCCGAGGTCAATGCGTACCAGGCTGGTGCTGCGTAGGTCAGCCGCGAGCGGATGTAGGTCTTGTAGATACCTATTTTCGTTCTTGTTGGGAGTTTGGATGCCAGTATAGGATAGAGTTTTGCTCGCGCAGTTCTGGCCTGTCTCACAACGTGATTGACCATCGGGGTCATGCGCAGCGAGCGATCTATCTGGCATTCTAGGTATGTGATGGTACTACTCCAACCCACATCCTGCCCGCGGAGTTGCAGAGTTGGTGGTGTTCTGGCCAGCCTGGTCATGAAGGCGACAGTCTTCCCGACGTTGACCGCCAGCCTCCATTTGTCCAGCCACTCAGGCAAAAGGTCGAGTACCCGCTGCAACTTCCTGGCAGCTATGTCCACCCGACGTGATGACGCGAAGTACACACTGTCGTCGGCGTACAAAGCTAGAACAACGTCATCTTCCCACTCCTCCAGATGGCCTTGAAGGGTGGGGATGTCGTTGGGGTAGACCGCGTACAGGTGCGGTGATAGGCAGCTGCCCTGTGGCACTCCCGCAAAAATCGGTCGCGCCGCCGAAACAGCCCCCTCCAGGGTGACATGGAAGCTCCGCTCCTCCAGGAACGACGCTATTAGCCGCACAAGCGTGGTCGGTAAGGTGGTAAGCTGAATGCGTTTGTACTAGCCCTGCGTGCCACACCCCGTCGAAGGCCTTCTCCATGTCGAGAAGTACCCCACACAGATGCGGCCGAATATAACTTCGGCTTAAGATAGTGCAGCACGCGGGCCAGCTGTGAAGTAGTGGAATGCCCCCTGCGGAAGTCGAATTGCTCCTCTCGCAGGGTGACATGTGGAAGGACCCTACTCAGGGTAAGTTTCTCAAAAAGTTTTGCTATGTGCGGCAATAGCGTTATGGGGCGGTAGCTGCCCGGGAACCTCCTGTCTTTTCCCGGCTTCGGCAGCACAATGAGGAGATCGAAAGTGCACGTTATTGTGTACAGACGTGTCATATAGTAATTAAAATAATTAAATAAGTATGTGCTTAGCCGTGACCTCGTTATAACAATACCGGTAGTAACTGTGACATACTTTAGTTATATTTGTGCTAGTGATATTGTGGAAATGTTTTAGCTTAATCTAGTATAAGTACTAAAATGGAGAACAGTCCTTTCAACCGGAGTGCCAGGACCGCTCACACCCCGCCTCCATCAACCCCACCCACTGTCATGCAGACACCCACCTCAAGCGAACCAATCAAAACAATAAAAGCTTTTACAAAAATTTACTTCGCAAATATCCGCGTTATAAAATAAAATGATGTGTCTTACCTAGTATGAAGAAGCACCTCCCGCCCTCCCTCAATTGCTACTCCCAACACCACTAGTGGTGTTGGGAGTAGCGGTGCTGGGATTAGTGGTGACGGGGTTAGTGCACGCAATTGAGGGAGGGCGGGAGGTGCTTCTTCATACTAGGTAAGACACATCATTTTATTTTATAACGCGGATATTTGCGAAGTAAATTTTTGTAAAAGCTTTTATATAATGGATTTCCGCAAAGTAACGCCTGATTCTATTAATTAAATCAAAACAATTCCAACTCCTGAGTTGCAGCAGTGGATGACAAGCATTGACCTGTGCCTTAACGAGGTGTGCTCCATCGCTACAGAAGGAAAACTAAACTCGGATCAAAAAATGCGCATCACCTCGCTTTGTCGAAAAGTAGGCCAAAGTACATCACAATTGGTAGTCCAGTACATGTCCCTCAAAATGGATCCCACTAAAGCCCAGACATCCATCGTTTTTCTACAGAACCAACTTGACCTGTCCCAAAAGCTGCAGGAAGTCAAGAATAGTATCGAAGAGTCATCAAAACCGGACTCTGGAACCTCTTTTGCGGACATGGTCAAAAAAGGTGGCCAAACCCTCATTCGCCCAAACAATCTTAGTACCCTAGCAATTTATCCGAGGGACAAGTCCAAATCCAGTGATGACACGAAGTGCCTCTTACAAAAAATAATATCCCCAGAAGAACTCAAACTACATGTCCGGGGCATGAGGAAGGTCAAAAATGGGGGAGTTATAAGTAGCGCTGAGACAAAAGGAGATATCGACAAATTAAAGAACTCCGAGAAGCTTGTATCTTCTGGCCTTACCATGGAAGAGCCGACTAAACGACGTCCGAGGATTGCAATAGTTGGTGTCCCTTTAGCCCTCACGGATAAAGAAGTGTTCGAGTGTATCTTCGAACAAAATATTGCCGATAAATTTCCCAAAGCCACGCGTGATTCTTTCCTGGCAACAGTCAAACTGAGCCATAAATCAGGTAAGAAAAACCTTCCTACATGTAATTACATTATCGAAGTGCCACCTATCATCAGGAAGGCCCTTATCAATCAAGGACGAATATATATTAATTGGACCTCATGCCTAGTCAGAGACTTTACAATTGTAACAAGATGCTTCAACTGCCAGCAGTTTGGTCACTCAGCCAAATTTTGTCGTGAAAGTTGCCCTACATGTAACTACTGTGGAGAGCTTGGGCATTCCTTTAAAGAATGTAATAACAAAGCGCACGCCCCCGTTTGCGCGACGTGTAAACGTTTTAAAAGAAAATGCGACCACAAAACTGGTGATGAAAGCTGTCCAGCACGTAAATTCGCAGAGGAGAAATATATCAACTCCATATACTATGAGGGCGTCTAAGAGCGCCGTGTATTATATTATTTACTTAGCTCTTAAACACTAGTTTTAGTTTATCCTTAAGCTTAAGTATGGCGAATCAATTACTCAATGACCTAGAAAACTTTTCTGTGTCTGACGCTAAAACGTGTAATGTTGACGACTGTAAACACTTCCTTCCACGTACTGAAAATAAGTTAGTCTTACTTATACAAAATATTAGAAGCATAAATCGGAATATAACCGGGTTTGAAGTCTTGTTGCATAGACTGGATATAAAATGTGATATTATTGTCCTTACAGAATGTTGGCTGTCAAACCACCCACCCCACCTACCGATTCTAGATGGCTATTAATATATACACATAAATCAAAATGACGGTTGTCGTGAAGCGACAATTAAAAAAAAAATAGAACCTAACCTAAGTACAACAAAACAACAAAAGTAGAGCCAGAAAACAATATATTTAAATTTTTAATAGGTATTTACAATTTTATAAAAAAAAATGAAATGAGGATGATGATGAATGAAGTGAGAGTACAATTAGATTACAAAAAAAAAAATATAAAGGTAGGAGAATAGGGGAATATAGAGATGTAGTGGGGCCTAA